AGCCCGCAGCTGGGAGCACATAGCTGACACTCCCATGGACCTCAAATGCAACTTTCAACAGGACCTTCACTTGGAAAGGCTCTCAGTTATTCTGTTGTGGCTTGAAGTGATCAAAATCCTCTCCCTGTATATGGTTGAACCCATCAACCAACTCAGAAAAGCCACTCCAAGGTACATGACTGAAATGGGCCCTTGATGGCTGGAATTTATGTGACCCAGCTAAGGCCAGTGGTGAGGGGGATGAAACTCCTCCATTATTTCAGTGCTCAGTCCAAAGATTTCTGTGCTCTGGATTTAATTGAACAAACAGCTTTTACACATGTTCCACATCATTATACAAGAACAACAGATTCTAAAATACCAAAACAGTGATGTCACCTCAGAGCTGGGACAGACAGACCCAGGATTCCATCATGGACATGTCTGAGGGACTCTCTATACAGAGATGTAATACAAGCTAGAACTAAAAAACATACTTCCCTAGCCAAGGTGAGCAACCACCATCTGTTTTCACAACTTTCTTATATATATATATAGTGGAATCTGAAACAAGTGAGTACCTCCTAACTGCAGATTCAGCAATGACGAGTGGCCTCCATGTTAAAAATACATTTAAATCATCTGTTTCAAGGAGAAAATGCAGAATAAAGTTCTTTACACCTAAATACAGATCCTGTGACGTGAAGGGACTATCCTGCCTGCCTGCCCCCTCCATCCCTGCCTTCTCTACATAGCCTATAGACAATCCCAGCTGTATTTGATACCTTGAGGATTAAAGTCATGCTGAGAAGGCTGTAAACAGCAAGATAACTCTTTATTTATTCCTGTGACCTTACAGCATGAGGCAGACCCCCTGCAGGAGGCAGTTCTCAAAGGCATCTGAATCACAGGTGCTTCATTAGTTCAGACAACTGAAGCTGCACCTTTAACAGCATGTCCAGCATGGCTGGGATGAAACCTCACTGCAAGGTGTGGGTCACTGCAGTGACTGTGCTAGCTTCCTGAAATAAGTGAAAATAGCTCTTCTTTCAACACAGGAAGAGAAATCCAGGCAGGTACGTGCTCGAGGACGGAAATTGCTCTGTCCCTGTACCATCACCTGGCAGTGGCAGGGGTTGCTCAACTTCACACATTCTTTCTGATGGAAGCTTGTGATGGCCAAAAATTGATTCTCAAAGTTTGAAGGCAGTTGTTAACCTGAACTGTTAATTATCTTGTTTATTTGAGGATGTTTTGCCTTCAAAGTGCTCTAGGATTCTCCCTCTCCCTCTCAATTTTGACCATGGACCCTCATGAACAGCTACTGCTGGCCCACAGGAAGCAGGATAAAGCCTCCTAGCAATGGGAAATTCTCTCAGTAATTGATTAGAAGAGGGACTCTGCAGAGGTCAGCTTTCTTCAGCAGCTGAACACCACCCTCCCCAGGGCATGATTAGGCCAGCAGAACTCTTGTCATTAATTCCTCCATACATGGATGTCCACCCCTGCTTTGTCTCCCTGCTCAAACACACACAGAAACAGCAAATTAATTTCAGTGTCTGATTGACTGTATTATAACTAACAAACATGGAAGGCTAATTTTAAAAGTAGAAAATGAGGCACTTTTAAAAGTACCTCTTTACTGCAAAGAGAAACTTGGAAGGGAATTTTCAAACATCAGAGAATTAAATATCCAAATCCCATTAAAAGTCAATATACATGGGATGTCAACCTCTTCTAAACTTTTCTATATTTTTAAATATAATGCCACTTATTTAAGGAAAGAAGAAAAAAAAAGGAAAAAAAAAGAAAAAAGAAAGGAAAAAAAATACTATCCAGCAAACATTCTTAAAATCCTGTGTCCTCGCCCTAGTCTGGGCTAGGCTCAGCACTGTCCCCTGTCTCACCTTCCCAGTAATGAAAAAAGATCATAAAGATCATTCCTATCTTCACTCTACCTGTAAACAATTCCTCTTGCATCTTCGAAAACATTCAGTGTAATCCAGCATGTAGAGTCAATTTTGAGATGCTATCCTATATAAGCACAATATATCACAAGGAATAACCATAGTAGCAACCTTTCAATTTCCATGGAAACCCTACTTGGAAAACAAGACACAAATCCTGGGGATACAAATCCCTTAAACCTATATAAAGTCACACTTGGAAGATGAAGTCTACAAACCAAAAAAGGGATTGGGAAAAGGGTTTATTGCGCAGAACTCTTGGTCAGCCTGGAGCACAGAACCCCTCATGGAGCCAGCATGTACAGCATCATTGGCTGATCCCTCCCTGCATCCTTTGCTACATCCTTCCCTGCATCCCTGAGCATCCCTCCTTGAGCATCCTTCCCCAAGCATCCTTCCCTGCATCCCTGAGCTTCCTTCCCTGCATCCTTCCCTGCATCCCTGAGCATCCCTTCCTGCATCCCTTCCTGCATCCCTCCCTACTCTCTCTCCCTGCAGGGCTGCCACTCCAAGGAAGTACCTTGGAGACTGACACCTTCCCATGGTAAGTTTTTAAAAGTATTAATAATCTACTGATGTCATCAGCAACAAAATGGAAATTCACACCTTTTTCAGCAAGGCCTTGTGGCTTGGGATGGCAGTGAAAAAAGGAGGTCTACATAGCTGGTTCCATTAAAAAAATAATTAAATTATTTTTAAAAAATCCAAACAAAACTAACCTGCAAAATAAAGCACAAAAGGTTAAAAAAAATAAATAAAAAATAAATAAAAAAAAAAAAAAAAAAAAAAAAAAAAAAAAAAAAAAAAAAAAAAAAAAAAAAAAAAAAAAAAAAAAAAATAAAAAAAAAAAAAAAAAGCAAAATGGGGTGGGAGTTAAGAGAAAGTCTCTGATCTCTTCCAGGTCATTCTCTACCAAAGGAGAATACAGAAAAAAAGTTGAGGCTTTAGAATAAGAAAAAACAAACCATTAAGCCTCAAGCAGGACTTAGTATGTGGCAGCTGGTTTATTGATTCTTTCCTCAAACCAGACATTAAAAACTATTTCAAGGGTAACTTCCTATGGCTGAGAAATTCCCTGAATGCAACACCACATTAACCTGCCTGACACACTTACATAGTTTAAGACCTTTCCCAGAACACTGGAAAAAATCAAAACTTACCCAAAAAGAAACCCAAATCAACAAAAGGAGAGCTTCCTTCTTCTTGGATGGTGTCTGTGTATCTTGAGCAGAATCTTCTAACCTGTTCCTCTTTTCCTTTTTTTTCCTGTTACCTTTTAACTGATGCATGACTACTTCTATCTTAATAATGTATTATCAATTTCTTCCTGATTAATATTTAGTCAATTAGTTTACTCTTAATTGCTGGTGCAATTATAAGAATTTCAGTAATTCTTCCACATATTCATCTGGTGTTTGACACATATCACATTAAATGAGGGATGGCACATCAAGCTGAGCTTCCAAAACTAATACAGACAAGGAGAAAAAAAAAATTCAATTCCCCTGTGTTAGAATGTGACTGGGCTACAAATTACATGGCCTGAAACCTCACAGAGTAAAAAGCACTCTGTGTCTGCTTGGTTTTAAGTCTAAAAGAAGTTTTACTTTTGACCACACTACTTTACCAGAAAAGTTGTGAAAAGTACTTGGGTTTTATTCTAATACAGAGAAAAGTGAAGCGGAATCAGGGAAATACACTGGGGAACAGGTGGAACACAGATAAAAATCCAGTTTATTCTCTTTCAAGTGGGCCCAAAACAAAACATCTCTCCCAATGACTGTGTCATATTTCTTAGTATTTTCTGCAGAAAACGTCCTTCTGCTATGACAGTCTAGAAAAAGCAGAGGAAAGCAGATACTAAGCTTGTGTGTGTGTATGATTAGAATTTAAGGAAGTGAGAACACAAGTGAAGCACTCCATGTTCAGCTACAAACCCCAGAGGAAGACAAAAATAATCTTCAGATGCTCAGGGATGTTGTTATGCTCCCCCTGTGTATCTCTGTGTCCCCACAAGAAATGCTCACCCCATCAAGTCCATTACTTCTGACACAGGGTGGGGAAAAAAGCGAAGCATTTTGAATTCTCATCTCCAGTTACTTCTGGGAAGAGGACACAAATTGTTTGCTACTGTGCTTAGCACTGCCCTGCATCAAGGTGTGATTTTCATTACACCTTCCATCTGTGACATAGTAGAAAGTAAGAACACAGCACTTTTATAGGATGAAGCAATTGCAGGTGAGTAGTACCTCAGGATCTTGATTAAAAGTTACCTCTGGAATGTACACTGGCATCACAAAACAGGAATTCCCAGAAATTCCAGCTTAGGAACCTGATTGCTGTGAAACTTGTAACCACACATGATGATCCATCTCAAATACCACCAGTAACACAAAACTTTGACTAATTAAAGTAATTATTGAAGAAAAAGGAGGAAAACAGGGTGATAAACCCTAGCAATATTAGATTATAATATACAGAGTTCTGACTCCACTTATAATTTTTGTAAACTATTCAGCAAGGTCTCAAGAATGAGACAGTGAAATAAACTCTCATTATTCATTCTTAAAAGCACATCAAGTGAGGAGTAGGTATGTTTAGGACTGATAGTACAGGAAGGAGATCAAGCATAAAATATATGCAGCCCAAAATTTTCAGTCTGTAATACTGTGAGTATACACAACAGAGCTTCGGAGCAGAAATTGTGACATGATTTTCAGAGGTGACAACATTCATTTTTGGGGAAACATTTGGCCACTACCCAGCAGCATGAATTTGGCTGAGATATCCATTCAGGCAGGTAAGATGGATGATTAACCTGGATGTTAATCAAGACAGACACATTAAATTTCTTGGCCCTTGAAGATTCAAAGATGACAAATACCATAGGTTACCAAACAACTGGAATCAAAACCTAGCAATGAACATAACGTGCCTCTAAAATGAAAAAAGGAAAATTCAGGTATAAGTTCTCAAGTTCCAAATGAAAAATTAAATTATACTTTGATATACACACCCCCTGCCACAGTAGCATTTCCAGTTTTGAGAGTTTACCTGGTAAAAATTCCATCCACAACACCAATTGTGGCCTCTTCTGCAGGGACGAAAGAGCCAATCTGTGCCATGACTGTGATCAGTGCCACTTGCTTGATGTAGGAGCTCTTCCCTCCCATGTTGGGCCCAGTTATTATCATGACCCTTTCACCATCTCCCTGGAAACACAAAACAGTGGTGAAATACACTGCCCTGCACATGGTGCTTCTACCAGGAAGTCTGATGTGCTTAGAAGGATATAGGACAAATCTGCAGGGTCAAACGTTCTATTCCTAGGTGAACAGCTTTCCTCCATTCTTGCAGCTCATCACATTCACCTCTCCAGATATCATCAAGCCCCACGTGCACCAAAATCACTTTTGATGACTCTTCAGCAAAATGGACAGAGTGAGTGGGAACCTCCCTGCTCTCCATCAAGGAGCCAAGAAATAATCAAGGAACTTGGTTACCAGCACGGAAAGCTGTGAGGGATGCTGAGGGATGCAGGGCTGGATGCAGCTGCCCAGAGGAGGCTCCAGGGTGAGCAGGGGATGCAGCAGCTCTGCTGGCAGCAAAGGCTGGCACAGCTGGCATCGCTCACCCGGCCAGGAGAAGCTTTGGGCTGAGCTCAGGGCGGCTCCAGGGAAGATGGAGAGAGACAATGGACAAGGGATGGAGGGACAGGAGACAGGGAATGGCTCCACTGCCCCAGGGCAGGGCTGGGTGGGACATTGGGAATGAGGAATTGTTCCCTGGCAGGGTGGGCAGGGCTGGGATGGGATTCCCAGAGCAGCTGGGGCTGCCCCTGGATCCCTGGCAGTGCCCAAGGCCAGGCTGGACACTGGGGCTGGAGCAGCTGGGACAGTGGGAGGTGTCCCTGACATGGCTGGGGTGGGATGGGATGAGCTTTATGGTTCCTTCCAACCCAAAACATTCCGGGATTCTGCAAAATTTCTCTGAAGAAAGGCAGAAAATTGTGAGCTTCCAGCACAGTGCCCAAATGTGGCTGTGATCTGGAGTGTGAGCTCAGTCTCCAGTCTGAGCTCTCATTGTCTGGGAAGATCTGGTAGGCAAAGACCTGACCTGGATTTTACATTCCTGACTGCCTGTCTGGGTATGACATAAGGACATTCAGAGTGGCTCCAACAAGGCATCAAGACATTACTGAGTCTGGCAGTACTCGACTGCAACACAGATGCTGTGAGCAGGCCATGCCCAATCTCCATCAGTGTCTCTCATCATTAAAACCAGACCCAGGAAAATGAGATCAGATGTAAGAACTCATCTCAGCTGCAAGACTCCCCATAGTATTGCTATGTGTCTACAGCTCCACAATAAAACTGTCTTCCTCAAGTGCAAGACAGCTGCTGATACAAAATTAAAACTTGTCCATGGACCTATAAAGCTTCCTCACAGCCTGAGTCGAGACTAAAAGCTTGAGTTATGCACGGACATCACACAGCCAGACCTTCCCACGGGGTGTATCTGATGAAATGCATCAAGGGATGATCAGAACAGAAATCAGCACCCTCCACTGCCCCGTGGGAGGGACAAGGGAGAAAGGACAAGCTGTGCATAATGGACATTAGTCACGCTACGTGGGGAAATTGGCACTGATCAGGGACTGTGGTCACAGCAACCAACAAATCCCCATGCAGCAGCTCTCAAAATCTTCACAGACTCGGGTTTCAGACAGGGCTTTCATTCTGTTTACAGGGACACACACAAAATGCAGACAGGACTGTCACTTATGTTATAACTCAGGTATTAGAGAAGACACAGGACATCAGTATTTATTATATGTAAAAAGCTGATCAGCTTTTGCAAAAAAAACCCAAAAAAAACCAACCAACCACAACTTCATCCACACTGAAGTCACAATACAGTCAAAATGTAGAAAATGCCATTATTGGGAATAAAGGATTGGATGTAGTGAAGTGCACATGACTGTATGACAAAATTCACAACATTGTGATCTCCAAAGTGTAACTCAGTAATGCTGTTAAAACTGTGTCAGGGCTCAACACAACAGAATTTACAGATCTTCAAACCCAGAATGAGTTCACAAGCTCATGTTAGGATCCATGAATTTTCTGCATGTGTCTGGTGTCTGTCCAGGCTCCCTCCAGCCATGCTGTGGGACTGATGCCTGCCCTGCCAGGGTTCTGTTGTAATATCAGCTATTAATGTTATGTTGTAATGGCAGCTATTAACCTGTTGTAATATCAGACCAGAGAACCCCTCTGTCCTCACAGCTGATGCAGTCATGAGCCAACAGCTTACTGGAATCCACGGCTGAAGGTAGCAGCTCTGAAACAACCCACAAATGTTTGAGGAGGAGAGGGGGAATGGAAAAATAAGCTGTTTATTTCAGGGGATTTAAAAGAAAAAAAATTTCCTCAAGTTAGATATTTGACAACATTTCAGCTGAAAACATGACAGGAGATGTATTTTCCTCCTGATTCCAGCACATCAGTTGAAAATTGGAAATGCTTTAATAAACTGGTTCCCACCCACCTCTCAAGAAAAAGAGAACTCAAAGAACTGTAGAATCAAAATTGATTCTGCCATGATCACTTGGTTTTGTAATATTCAGTATTTAGAAAGCCAGCATAAGAATGGGACTAAAGAAGGAAAAGTGCACGATGATTCCTGAATGACATGCTGAATTTTTTTGGAAGTGCCATCTGTCGCTTGTTTGAAGTTGACAAATAATTTTGAAAACATTCTCTGATGTATCACAAAATATCTGTAGCATTGTTCAGTACAGAACAGCACTTAAAAATGTTCCCCAAGAAATACACACAAAATTGAATGCTGTTTTTACAGCAATGTCCCGTTCTGGCAGTTGTTTCATACCTTTTCTACATTTACTGCACAAAGAGGCAGAAAGAAGTTGTGAGGATATTTTTTATATTCATTAAGAACAGCTATTTAATATTTATAAAAATATATGGAGAGCTAAATATTTAACGAAAAGCTTCAAACAGGTATGTAATTTAAAAGACAGATTGTAGTTTATCAGGAAAAAAAGGCTGTATGACACTAATATTTCCATAGAGAAAGGAAACTGCATAGCAGAGAAATACATTAACAAATACAAGCAAACTTAGAATTAATCTGAAAAATTGAACCTGTAATATGTATTCTTCATATTAAAAGATTCCAAGAATTAGGCAGAGTTTGACAAAATGTGGACTCCCTACGATGACACTGTTAAAAACCCTGTAATAATTAATTTGTTTTTTGAAAATAACCATTTGATTGAAACACCCATTCTCCTAATTTTGAGATTACTTTTCTTTTTGCCTGGAGACTGAGCAAGGCTGTAAAGAGAGCATCTGGCAGCAAGGAATCAGCAGAGGGACAGAACAGACGTGGTGACATCTAGCAACACGTCTCTGAAATGCAGCCCAGCAGGCTGCATGATTTCCATCACCTGCTTCCACTCCTCACCCCAGCTCTGCCCTGCACGACTCTGAAGCTCAGTCAGTTCCTGGGTACTTACTGAAAGGCTGGTGGTGTTTGGAACATACTGCTCCTGCTCTCCCAGCAGAACATCAATCACAGGGTGCCTCCCGTTTTTTATGATTATTTCACGACGATCGTCTTGCACGGTTGGTCTGCAGAAAAGGGAAGGTATTAATCTCAGTGCTCTTTGTAATTGAATATGTAAAACTACTGTAACTGAAGCCTGCAGGACTGTCACCTGTGATGCAAGTTTTTGTGGGAAAAAATACAAATGATAAAAATTAATTACTGCTATCAAGTACTTTTGAAGAAAATATTGTCTAAAGAACACTTTCTCTGAGAAAAAAACAAGCCACAGAATTTTAAGACTGAAATTAACTAACACTTTGGGTGGACTTCTAAGGGAAGATGTGGGGAGTGAGATTTTTCTTGGGTTGAAGAATAATAATGCAATTTTAAAGGAAAATGGAGATCAAAAAAATGGCATCCTGCAAACAGAAAGCACTGGGGAAAGAGGTAGAAACTGACAATGGTGGAGGGTTTAGCACAAAGGTAATTCCAACAGCTGTACAGCTGAGATGAAACCAGTATGTGGACAGTCTTAGGCCTCTTACCATCTCTTCAACGGCATTCCTCAAACTGAAATTCACTGGAAGTCTGCAGGGTGGACACTCAAACACCAGGTGAAGATCTCTGGGCTGCCCACGCCATCACTCAGAGACCCTGCTGAGCCCCCAGCACCCTGCAAGAGGGGCTCCCCTCTCTGCAACCCCTCTGCCCCTGCCCTGCCTCATTCACCTGCCTCAGGCAACAATCCTCACAAAACAAAACACATTCCTCCAAAACAACACCAAAGTCCAGGCTTTCCTTCAGCAGCCCTCTGGAATTAATTATTGACACCTTCCCTGCAGCTGAGGTTTCCCTGAGAAGTCTCCTTCCTTCCTAGTTTATAAGCTCTAAGCCACTCTGAAATTCAGTGAATTATTTACATTCTGCACAGTAAATTAATCAGATTTCAGTTTGTTTTGTCATCTGAGTATACCAAAATAAGTGACCAATTATTTTCAAAGAGATTTTGATAGAGAGACACACAAGATCCCAAGAGCCCGGAAGCGATCAATATTATCTTTAACAGCATATCAAAGCAGAAGTTTTTGCAAGGGGATTTCTCTTCATCCCCCTACCTGTGTGTGGGTCTGGGGCAGGAGCAGCAGCTCAGCTCATCAGCTCCTGCATGTGAGCCTACCTGAGGCATCAACCCTGCTCTGCAAGCTGGAACTAAGATTTACCTATTAATTACCTGAGATACACCTTCCAAACATACCTCAGACACCCTAAGCTCTTAGGTGTTAGAAAGATACCATAAACTCAGACCTGTCTGCGAATAAAATACGATAATTTTTTACAGAAACACAGAAAAAAAGTCCATGAGAAGTCCAGCATTTATTTACACGCAAGTAAGATATCATCTACTAGACTCAGGTCAAACAACAAACATCAGGATGTCAAACTGGAACTGCAATGTTTACAGATTTGCATTAAGTCCAGAAGCGTTGCTCTGCAAAATCAGACTAAGTTTAAACTATTGTACACAATTTTAACAGTGTTTTTTATTATGGCACACATATTAACATGTCATTTAAGTATGCTCTTATAATTCCATATGGAATCCTACGTAAAAATTAAAAATTAAAAATTGATTACCTGCAGTAGTCTCCTTGTTTGGCCACCTGGGCCAACGAGAACAGGCAGTCCACAGTTGCTAGGTGACAAATGGCTTTAGACACGGGGTGATAATGTTCACTGAAACGGCTGCATCGAAACAGCAAAAGTTACACAAAAACAGGGAAAGAAATAATTCCGGACAAATACAAAAGGATTGTCAAAATGCACCCCATGCAAGCTCCTCACAGGGCTCCTGTGCTCTTTAAATCACTCTGAATCCAAATCTCCCAGCAGTGTATCAGATAGAGCATGAGGACCTCATTCAAGAGGAACTTCATCTCCCACTCTAACAGTGAATTATTTTTTAAGCACAGAAAATCAGGCACAATTAAATTCATTAGATAGCTCATAAAGGGTCAGCAGCTGATCACTGCTGCCTAAATGAGGTATACAAAAATGCCACAATTTATCAGAATTTATATAGAACATCAGCAGGTGAATCCAGCTGTTGATTCAGCCTCAACCGTAAGTTACAGTTAAAAAAGAACCAAACTAAGAGTGTCTGAAAACAGGAGTTGTCTAAAATTTCGATGAATAAATTATGATATCTACAACAGAAAATTCAAGAATTCATTTTCAATTTATGGTGCTGCTTCCCCAGTACAATAATGACATTATCAGGAGAACAGAGTTTTCAGTGGAGTTCATTCTCTTGGTCTTCTGGAATTTCTTTTTTCCTCTCTCCTGGTCTCAAAGCGACAATATAGAATATAAAACCAGCAGGAGAGCAAAATTTAATAAAAAAAGACATAAATGAATGGAGGGGTGGGAAAGAAGAGCACTTTCCTACACACAGGTCTTTCCTTTTTGTCTGCTGCTCTCTGACAACACTACTGAGAACAGACACGTGAACACGGAGACAACTCTTTTATAGTACTGCCAAGGAAACACAACTGGAGAAGTGACAATTGGAGTGTCTTTCCAGTTTCTACTCAAATTTTCAGAATTTCTGGGCTCCTAATGGGAAGAAAATCCAGTGAGACAACTTGAGCAGGGACTTGTTAACGTCTTGCAAACTATCACTGCATGACAAGAGGAACAATTTCAGCAGATCTGCAGTTCATGAAAACAAAAAATAACAGATAGTCAGGCAACTGAAAAATTAAAGGCATTCAGAACTTCAGGAAGTATTTTTTAAAGTCCCATTTTAAAGATCCTTTGGCTCAACAGGCAAATAACTCCACTGAAAGCTCTGATCTCAGAAAAACACATGTGCCAGATGTGAGGGACAACAAAATTCCCACTACTTTCTAACTAACTCTCATAGTCAGGGTATCATACAAGATATAAAAAATAATAAAATAGCTGCATAATATTAATAATTGATATAATAAAACCAATGAAACCCACTAGATTCAGTTTTCACTCAGAGTCAGTTGTACTTTCAGATTGTTAATGCTGTGATACTATTTTTCAAAGGTTGGGAAACACCTTGTATACTTAATGGTGTGTTTTCACCAGAATTTTAAAACGTAGAGACAACATTGCTACTCCCAGGACTCAGGCTAAGAGGTCTTGTGTCACCCTGCTCTTTTGAGAGGTTTAAAGTTCTTCTAAAAGTTTCTTATGCCTTCTGATATTTACGCATTTCTACTGAATTTTCTCACACTGTTCATATAAACAATGATTGTTTTGCATTCTTCTTTGTGGGAGGAGAGAATTGATGGCCTGTTGGTTTGACCAGTGTGGTTGGAGAGGTGGCAGTTTCACCCTCCAACCCACTGTCACTTTTACTATGCTCTAGATAGTAGAGTCAGGAAACAAAGTTTGCTTTTTGTGGTTCTTTTTCTTTACTTCTACGTCTAACCTGCTTGTGTGAGTTATTTTGTGTTGTGGTGTGGCAGTCTTGGTTTAAAGGGAAGAACAGATTTTAACCGACCGCCAGCGGGGCTCTGCGGACAAGCACTAGGGGTTTGTTTCGGAAGGAAGGGTTTTTGTACTAGGGGCTTTGTTTCGGGAGGGTTTTGTGCCCCGTGCCAGGGCAGGGTCGGGGTGCAGCACTCACTCCAGGAAGCGCAGCCACTGGGCGCTGCAGGCCAGGGCGAGCTGCTCGCGCAGCCGCTGCAGCGCGCGGTAATTCTCCGTGACCAGCGGCGCGTGGAAGCGGCTGACGGCTCTGGTGCTGCGGGGAGAGAAGGAGAGGGGCTGTGGGACCAAGGCTGCAAAACTGGACTCGCTTTATTAATCTCAGGAGCTCTCCGTCGTGCCAGCCAAGCCCGTTGGTTCCAGCGACCTCCGTGGTGAGTGAAGCGCTGGCTCACGGCACGCTGCCCACTCAGGAGCTCTGGAATGCTCTGCACAGCACCCCAGACCTCACATCCCACAAAACTGCTCAGCAACAGCTGCCCAAGTGATGTACAACCAGCTCGACAAAAACAAATTCACTGTGAAGAGGAAGCGTCCGTGATAAGCCTGAAATAAGCATACTTAATACAGATTGTCTTGCTAGTTTTCACTTGAGATACTTGTTATTTATTTATGCATTTTCATTAAGGACTCAATTTGGCACGACCAGGCATTCTTTTACAGAATCCAGATGAGCTGTAATTTGCTCACCATGTTAATTCTGTCTGATCTGTGCACTTCTCAGTATTAAATGAAATTTAATTGAAGGAGAATTGAGAGTTAATTCTTGCATAACTGAATAGAGCATCACAACAGAGTTCAACTTAGTGAGAGATGTCTGTGCTCACACATTATACACTGGGGCTTGTAGAGAAGTCAGCACTTACATGGACATTGTAACTTTCAGGTATTCAAACCATAAATCAAATTACTGAAAATAAAAAAGCCAACTACATAAATCAGTCCAGCTCTGTTTCACCTGCTGGAAAATTATCCAAAATCCCACCTAATTGCATTAGACCAATTACCAAAGCATGAAGAACTGAGTAAATAAAATGATAATTTAAATGCACTGAATTTACCAAGATGTATACGCAGATGTTTGCACAGCTACTTTAATCTTTCTGTATAAAACAATAACAATCAAAACTGTTTGAAGGATTTGCATGTGCAAGCTACAGGCACAACTGAGTCAAGGTCATGGATCTGACACCAGTACATGCACCTTGAAGGACTGGGTGAGTAATTCTGTGCTCTGAAGATGTACTGTGTAAAAACAAATGTTGTAACAAATAAATTTTTCTCAGTTTTGTTTGTGTTGTTTTTTTTTTTCTTTTAAGCAATAGGTTTACAATTTGGTTGGGTTTTCAGCTTAAAAAAACCCCCAACAAACCTTAACACATGGGACAGTGAGAATATGTATGTAAAGAATTGCAATATCAAAATACCTCGGTTTTTTCCTCTAAATTAAAACAGAACCAAACTTCAAAGACATTTTACATACCTACTAACCATAACCCAGTCAGACGGCACAGATGATTTATGGGAATTCTTGACTTCTATCAAAAACTGAAATAACAGAAATGTAATGTTACACACCATGAGGAGTCAGGAAGTCTAGAGAATCAGAATCATCATTTATCCAGAAACTGCAAGCACCAGAGGAAAGCCATGTTCAGGCTGAAGAGAAGGAGAAGCCCGGAAGGGAACGCTCTTTTCTCCCCAGAAGAAGCTGGGGTGGTGGCACACATCAGCCTCTGCACCTGCAGAACTTTGCTGCAGGTTTGAGTGAGCTCAGGGTCAGACAGGGAGGCACAGGGACAACCAGCAGCAGCGTCAGGATGCTCAGCAGTGAGATCTAGAGTGACGTGTTTGTTTTACATGATTCATGTCAGTTATCTCTGTAACAATAGCCTGAGGCCCTGCGTGTCACAGAGCTGAGGCATTCTCACGTCACAGAATTCAGCTGGAAAACAGATTTCCTGCAGAGATTAGGTTAACACAGAACCTGACCACATTTACGGAAAGCCACGAGACTCGTGTCTGGCAAAACTTCTCCATTGTAGCTAATGAGATTTAGATAGAAATTTCCAGAGGAGCCAGCAGACACCCCCAAGAACAAACAAGGATAACAGTCCTAAAACAAGAATAGAGCAAGGACAGGGTGCACTAATTTTTAATTCACCCAAAGCACTTCCAAGGTATTTCTCTCTTGTGAATTTTACATCCATCAGAGTGCTACAAGAACATAGAAAGAATACACCAGACAGATCTGAGGAATAAAGAGCTCAAATCAAATACATCCCTGCTCTAGTCTTGTGTTCTATTCCTCCAATACAACTGAGTTTCCACTAGTTCCATTCCTCTGGCAACTTTCTTTTCCCCACTGACCATATTCTCTGACCCCCTCTGCTGCCTCTTTTGGTGTCTGTTGAACACTCACACCAGATGTCAGGAAATAAGAGCTATGCCCAGCCTCTGCACCCCTTTCATCAAGGCACCAGACATACCTCTGTCTGCAGAGGGTTCTGATCCATGCCCTGCTACAAAGGCTTCCCCTCTAAATGTGTGCAGTGACTGCTGCCTCTGACACCGCTTTTCAGTCCTTCCTCAGATGCTCTCCTCCCTTTGATCAGTTCCTCTCTTTTCCTTTACTTCACACAGATGGCAGCTATTAACCCAGCTTCCCTGAGAGAAACCTTTCAGATCCTGCTCCTCCCTGCCTCAGACAACACTCAAACACACTTTTCCACTTTTCCCTTGGATTTCAGCCTCTGTGCTGACAGCCCACCCGACTCCTGGGCCACATGTTTCCTGTTCTCAGCTTCACCCTCAACAGGAACATCCAACTTCAGGCCTTCATCACAGGCTGCTGTCTCTAATTCATCCCTTCCCTCGTTTTCAGCAGCGTCTATTTTCTCCCTCCTGTGTCCTTTGGATCTTTCTCAGCTTCCCAAGTGTCCCACGGGCCAATTCCAGCCCCTTCGCACCCTGTCCTCACCCACTCCTCTTCTACTCACAACTCTCATTCTGTTTCCTGACTCCTTTCTTTCCCCAGTTTTCTGTTTCAGAGTTTTTCCCAGCTTCCTACTCTCAGTTCCAACACTGAGCAGTGCTACCTGACTGCTCCTTTCAGTTTCCCCACAAACGTGGCAGGGTCTGCTGTCTCTGTTTTTCACCTCTCAGCTCACTGGATCACATCCTGCCCACACTTGTGCAGCATCCATGAGCAAAAGTTCCAGTCCAGAACACCATTTCCCAGAATTGGAACTAAAACAACACTTGTCACTCTTTAATACTGTTCCCTCTCCTCTCCCATCTTTCAAATTACAGTCTGACTCAGCACTTAGAAATCGTTTCACCATTCTTCAAATTAACCAAATGCTGTGCTTCCTGGTTCTCCAAGAGTATTCCAGTACTTAACAGCCATACAATTAACCTTGGAAGTATGTGTTTTTACGCAGACAGAAAAGCAAAGCATTACTGAACCAAATTCAACTGCACTAATGTGTTTCTATTATTTAAGTCACTAAAGTGATTGACTTAACAAATAAAGGAGTCACACGGTAAGAAAGCTGCTCTTCAAAGTTGTACAGAAGATTATAGGCAAATGCCCTCATGAAGCACCACACTCAGTGAAGAGAGTTCCAGCTAGGTCCCGCTTTTAAGCTATTTTCTAGGCAAGGATGGGTACAGTCATACATAATAAAACCCACAGTACCTCTTGACCCGAAACTGCAATGTACTCTGCAGAAGGGTTCTTAATCTGTTTACGAATATCCGGCAGATGCAATTGGATTTTAGAAAGCACATCCTGGATCTCCTCCTTTTTCTTTCGGATGGCAGGGAAGTCCGTCAGGTCCTTGAACAACTGTGTTTTATCTCCAGTCCTATCCACAAGAAATGCAAGGTAAAATAATGGTAAAAAAAAAAGAGAGATGTACCTCGGTTCTACCAACTGCATCCTTATTTTGTTATTTTTATTTGTTGGAACATCAGCTTAATTCCCTTCTGAGTACAGATTTTCAGGTCATGGCACAGCCCATTTACTGCTGTGCTCATGACAGGAGCAGAAAGGCACTTTGTACACAGAGCACCCCAGCTGCTGACTACACCTGTACTGTGGTGAAACATGAAACTTCAGGTGATTTCTGCATGCCTCGAGCCCAGATTTTCAACACATTTAGAATCTGGCCACATTTGGGCACATTTTTTTAAGGATTGCATGGAAAAATCCCACCCTCAAGGCCCTCATCAAAGCAGAATGCCAACAGTACTTTCCCAGAGCAGCTTCCTTCTTTTGTCCAGAAAAGATTACCCACAATACTTTTAAGCACATACAAAACAATACCCTTTTCTAATTTCAGTGCCAGAAAAAAATGACAGAGTTCTTTTGGCAGCACTAACTCAGGTCAGGATTGAAACCTGAAACAAGCAATGCCATTCAAGTGGTTAAAACTGGGAAGCTGAACTAGTAATTAAAAATACAGCTGTCAACAAAAATAACAAAAAAATTAACTTGCCCTAGTAAGTATCAGGCAAACAATAAAAAAGCACTGTGATCAACCCTAAGTTAATTGCAATGTAACTTTGCATTTTAGAGCCAATACAGAACTCTGCAAGTTAATTATATAATTACCTTGAAAACCAATATGTGGAGAGCGAGTAATTAGCCAACTGAAAGTATTACAGCATGAAAGTAATAAAAAAATCTAATATTCTACTTCCTCCACTGCCCCTTGGCCTGCAAATGGAGCTACAGCTGGAGCCAGTGGCAAGGCAGGCAGCACAGAGCTGTGCTTTGGCTGTGCACTCCTCCATCCTTGGGATTACGTAAGTGACAGTGAAGATGCCATTTTGAAGTACAATACTAATTTTTAGAAACAATTTCCTGCTAATTGGACTCGTTTCCATGGGAATGCAAGGCAAAAAATAAAAGATCCCTAGTAGCCAGCAGCTGATTGTAAAGATTGCCACTGCTAGGTGATGCCTACAAAAAATTGTAATGTTGAGAGGTTCAAAAATAAAAATCCCAAAATCTCAATCTCCCTGTTAAAAAAACCCAAAAACCTGGAGAAAGGAATACTTTTGAGAACAATTACAGGATTTTATCCACACCTCATACCAAAAGTAACATGTGATGCAGTCTGTGCACAAGTGTGTACGTGCATGGATGGATGTGAGTGGAAGCCAAGATTTTGATGAAAGAAATGTTTTTGAGTAAAAATAATACCACCACATACATTTGGCATATGTAAAGGCCAGAAAGTAAGTTGGCTTAATCATTCTGAATAAATGTAAATACAATATACCCATTCTACAGATCATTTATATCTTGTATACTATTCTAGCCATTGTTAGTACAGCAACAGAAGAAAACACCCCATGTTTTGAAACTACCTACACTAAATCTGGTATAATTTAGATTGCTATCATGTAGATACAGTCTGTTTTGGCACAAACTGTCACAGCTATAATTGGGCACCAGGAATCAGCAGAAATCTCATAATCCCACCTCACCAATGGGCAGAGGAAATCCTCCTGCCCTTCTCAACTTCTAAATTTACACACCTTGGGTCCACCTCTAAACCAGAAGCAATTAAAATAAAGTTCTAGGCTTTGATTCTTAGATTTATTTTTCAACTTGAGCTTGGAAAAGATAAAAAATGTTTTATAAATGAAGTGGATGTTTATTTTTAGTCTGTTCCGAATGAAAAAGGTAAGACTATGCTGCCCCCATAGAACAACACACTAAACCTTTTGGCACAACCTCAGCAAAGAAAGAATCTAGGGATGACAGTAGAGGCAGCAGTGCTTCAGAACAAACAGTACACACCAAATTATTTAGAGATATTCTCCAATACAATGCTTATTAATCCAAATTTAGCATCTTCTTCCCATCTTTTTTTCTTCAGGGACCAACAATGGACATAATTAAGGCAAAAAAGGGCAGACAGCTTTGATGAATTCTCACAAAAACAGTGGAAGGCATATTGCTGACAGCAGAGTTGCCCCTCTGCTGAGGGTCAAGTCTTTCTTCAAAAGGAATAGCTTCTCTTAAAAAGAATTAATTAAAAAGCTGCTAAACCAATTAACATAATGCGAAACATATTTTCCTGTAAATTCATCACCAAAAACAGGTGAGAAACTTTCAAAAAATCATTCAGCCTGAGGCAAATACCCTCTAGGCAAAATACTGCCTCACCTAGTTTAACTTTAAAAAAGGAATGTAAGCCATAGGAAACAACAACCTCTGCTTTAACCAAAGGGAACTCTACCTACATAAATATGAAATAAAAATATAAAACTGACATGTACTAAACCAAGAGTCATAATTTGCATAACTGAACACATTTACTCAGAAAGGCTAAGAGGCACAGAAGAATCACGTTGTTTACTTACTTGGCTGCTTCCTCATTCAGGATCTTTAAATACTGCTTTACTGGGGAGAGAAGGTCTGGGATTTCCAACAGTGCATTTTTTAATAGAGAAGATCTCACATGGGACTGTATGACTGGGACCAAAGTTTGAATTTCCAAATCCAGACGAGACAGAGTGCTGACTATCAAGAAGAACTCCTGGGTAGAGCACTGAGAAGGGAAGGAATGTCTGAATCATTACAACCAATTGCATTTTCACTAACAGGTTCATCTGCTTGTTCAAAATGTGACAGAATGCAAATTAAATGCATGGACAGTAACAGAGCTGCACCATCTTGCCCCACTAATCAGGGGGGTTAATTAACCACACCAATTGCCCCAACCCTTGTCCTCAGGATTTTGTCAAGAGCTGATCTCCAGTGCTCCTGCTGCTGGGGGCAGATGTGCACACAAAGGCAGAACAAGGGGCAATAAGGTGCAAACAGCAAAAAAAGCAGGTGGGGGACTGTACAAACCAGGAACGGGACGGGACTGCTGAGGAACGTGTCCCCAGCTGTTCATTTTCCAGCATCACTCTCATTCCATGGTTATGACAATAGGAAGGTGCCAGCAGCTCACATCCCAGCAGCAGACCAAGAACTTAATGTTACAGCTTACTTTAAAAGCTTTTTGACCAGTCACACAAAGCAAAAGCACACTGGCACTAGTTCTATCCAACCTCTATAAGCACACATACCTTTGGTTAAAGCAATGCTCGCTTATTTCCAATACAATACCTGCTTGTAAGCCTTAAGATACAATGCACAGAGCTCCATTATTAAGCTTAGACCTTTCTAATATCTCACCAGAGATACTTTTCTGCACCTTAGGGAGTTATTCTACCCCAGTGTTAACACACAGACCATTGCTCTATTTGTCCTTCCTTTCTACTTCTTGTATAATTTTTCTGCTGACAAATCTTATGGCTACTGCTGAGCTCTCATCACCATCCTGCTGTCTCGGAGGCCTTTTGCAGCGTGCCCAAACCCCTCTGATTTTAAGGAATCCCACAACTGTTATGTGTATATGGCATAATTCCTGCAGATAAAAATTGTCATATATATTTTATATATTTATTGATAAGAAAACCCCTGGTAAAATATGTTTAAGCGCACAAGTCAGTGCGGGGGGGATTGCATCACAGTGTATCCACCTGGACAAAGGAGGGAGGACTCCGTTCACGTACAGTTGGACATGGCCAGGAGATGGATCACCCATCAAGGTGGCCCAAGGAATGATGAATACACAATAAATACTAGAAATTGAGATAGCCAGAGCCATCAGGGTGATACATCTCAACACCAAATTCCGCAATCACGGGTGTTCATCTCTCTCCGGACATGTACTGTTCAACTTGCCACAGAGAAAAGAACTCCGCCCGAATACGTGCAGTCCAAAAAGGAAGAAAAGGGACTCTGCCTCGAGCAAGAAAAACCATATAAAAATCAGCCAGACAGAGCAGTCAGTGTGGAGCACAGGAGACCCTCTGCTGCAGCAGTCAAACCTGTGCCTCACACAACACTGACACCTGGGCTCAGCACTGTCCTTTTTGATTGGATTGTGGTTTTCTTTTTTTTCCTCCAAATTTATACTTGGATCATTTACTAAATTTTCCTTAATTAACAAATTGGAGCATTCATTTATAAAATCACCAAAAGCACCAGCTTTAAAAGAGAATCCCCTCTGCCTTTCTGTGCTACCTGTGGTGTGCCTCCAGCACTTTGCTGTTGGGTTCTGGATGCTCCCCAGTGCCAGCACACTTTGTCACCTTTAAGTGCTTTTCAGGAAGGGTTTTTTGGGCAGTCCCCACCCCTCCTGCACACTGCCAATCCCCCCAGCTGCCCAGCAAGAGGCAGTGCTGGCTCTGCAGTGCTCCCTGCAGGACCCAGGGCTCCCAAACCTTGCTGAATTCAGTCACACTCCCAGGACATCCCAGTCTCACAGAGTTTGAAAAAGGTTGTCCATAAATAATTATGCTGGTTTTTTTTTGGGTTTTTTTTTTTATTTTACTGATCTGTAGAAACATTCCTCCTTTGGCCTTCTGAAATTGTCCCATCAGTCAGCAGATAACTCTGAAAGAAAACCAGTTTATCTTCCTCACCTGAGGATGCAAGGAAGGCAATAGGATATATAATATCCTTTGTCTGCCATATCCTTCTGTTCCAACTTTTTTTTTTCTCTTCTACGACAGGAATGTAGAATTTAATTTCTGGACAGGACTGTATGGTGACCAGTACAACACTGCTCACAGAAGAAGCAGTGAATCACTATTTCACAGAACACATCCACATTTTTATTTTGTCACCCTTTGTCTCTTAATTTCTTCCCAAAAGTAAATTTTTCTTCCTCTTCCTTCCCACACTCAAATGCAAGAACTAAGGAAATCCTCTCATTTATTACAGTGCAGTTATTCCCAAGGAATGTCTGTACCCAAACGCAGAATCAAGTATTAGCCAAAATGCAATTTAACCACAGTTAGGAATTCAGGAGGGCCACAGACACTGCACCCTGAATGCTCCTGGAAAACCTAAGCTCATCTATTTTACAGAACCACAGAGTTCTGTGGGACAGAAGACACACATTAGAAGGTTTCCCTGCAAATGCTCAAATTTTTCTGTAATTTTCTTTTTGCCTGCTCTCAGGCACATACACTCCTGTGTGTGCTTACCACTAACCCATAATGCAACAATGACCATCATGTAAAAGTGCTATCAGACAGCACAATTTCCCTTTCCATTGAATTAATCCAAATATCTCTAGTTTTACTCTTTTGTATTACACTAACTGCACTGTTTCGTTGCTGTTAACACCCTTCAAATATCTCCAAGCCTTCTGTTCTCTTTTAATGATCAATGTAACTAAAAAAAAAAAAAAACCAAAAAATAGTCTTTTAGTCTTGCTTCATAAACAATCCATTTTTCTGCCTCATGAAAACTCTGGGTTTCCTCTGCACTTGCTGCAATTTATCATCATCTTTCTGATAATCTGGGATTTACTGCTTCTGTCTTACAACAAAATTAAACAAAATAATAAAGAAGTAAATATGTCAACAGTGTTTGAAGTCAAAGCACAGAGGAAAGGCCTGAAACTAAACAAATGATAAATCCCAGCTCGGACTCCAAGTCAAATAAAACACTTTCTGACTGATTGCATCACCATCACCATCCTCACCCATGGGGATGAGGGCTAAAATCCTGCCAGGTTTCTCCAGATGTGCCCAGGAGGTCCCTGATGGCAGCAGCGTGATGCACAGGACAGGGGAATGAGCAAATGTGCACACCCAGAAATGCATCAGCTGCACAGGGCAGCTCATCAGGGTGGGGGGTTAATTGTTATTTCTTTAAAGAAGGAAATAAAGGGCCCTGATCAGTGCATGACCTGTAAGAGTGGGGGAAAGGAGGTGTTGGTGGGCACAGGTGAGGACACCTGGCTGAGGTGTTTGCAACAAGGCTGGTGAGGCTGCTGAAGCTCAGGTTTCACAGAGAGGAGAAAGCTGCATCTCAGGGCACCTAAAACAACTCCTGAAGTTATGAGGTTTGTCAGAAGATGGTTCATAAGCACTCCTAAATCGGATGGCTGACAGGACACTGTAAAACTCACCTGATGAGTTAAAACCCGTTTGATTCTGTGACTACAAGCCTTTGGAGAGAGGGAAATTCACCGTGTTTTACTGCAAACAGTCTTGTTAAACAGGTGTCACCCCAAGAACGGGGTGAGCATAGCTTTTCTGTGCTTATTCAGTGTTCCTGTTCCCCCTCGCTCTACGTTAGTAACACTGCAGGACCTTGCATGTAAAATTTAATGTCTCCACTGCAGAAATCATTTACTAAGCAAACAGATAACTTGGAACAGACACATTCAAATAACTCTGAAAATCTGGGCTCCATCACAGCGGGACTGATTCCATTCAAATCCTAGGTAACCCCACAAAGATACACACTGTGTCATAGATAGAGGCTTTTAGAATCCAGTAAGAATTGTTTACACAAAGCAGGATTAACAGTCTTGCATTCACAGAAGATTCTCACAAGCTGATCCAATGCTATTTTTGAAGTCTGCTTTTGAGATGACACCAATGACAGCCATAATTTCTCTGGCACTGGAGAAATAACCTCAGAGCTGACAGTGGTGCCAAACAATAGTTTCAACCAGAAGTTTATCAAAGTGTCCTGCAAATGGATGCAGGGAAGATCACAGAGATCTAACACCCTCTCAGCAACACTGACAGCAATTCAGCCCAGTCAGAATTACTGAAATTGTTTCCAACAGAGACCAACAGCCAACAGCCACCAACCACTTTTGACTGCAAGGTAAAAGTGTTTCAAATTAAAAGAAAATATGGGTGTCTAAATGCAATATACATTTATCACTCCTTTCAAATTGTAATTCTCACCTTTATCTCTTTAGCATAGGGAGTAGACTTTGGTTTGGGAGAAATGAGGTATTTAATTTTAAGAATATTAAGTCCCCTTGTTATGACTTTATATTAATCAGCTTAACAGGGAACAGTTTGCTCAAATCAGCATTTATCATTGCAAACCTAAAAATATCTGTGATGCAGAGTCTTTAAGAGATTAAAAGTGTGGTATAAGCAAGATGTGCATGATATTACCATAGTAGGAAAAAAAAAAAAAAAAAAAAAAAAAAAAAAAAAAAAAAAAAAAAAAAAAAAGGAAAAAATACAAGGTACATGTAAGCTGAAGTCAAAGGATCATCGTATGGGGAAAGTGGATTTAAAATGTATTTACTATTCTACACAAATAGTAACTAATTACTTGGGCTATGTAACAGGTATTAATTTCACACAAGAAAAAACAAACCAAAAAGCCAAACCATAACATTTTTCTCTGACTCTTCTGAAACTTACACCCTCTTCAATGGAGTATCAAATGCACCTTCCAGGGAAGGGTGTATTTTCAGCACCACTGAACGACTTTAACACTTGGCACCCAGCTGAGCTGCACCCTTGTCCTCTGAGGAGCCTGACTGTGCCCCAGAAATTGTGAAATATTCACTGGAAAGGGGAAGGCAGCACACAGCCCCGGCAGGAAACCTTCAGAGCCTGACCCAGAACTGAACAGGTTTTCCCAGGGGCAGAACACGTGGTGGTAAGGTTTGATTATTGCTCTCCCTCCTTAGGGAAACAGCTCCCCTTTAATCTGTTTTGTACATCTAATGGCCAATTGTTATGATAATTCCTTTGGTGACTGTGCTTTAGTCAAAAAATAATGTTTACTGGGCGAAGGGTACAAATAAGATAAACATTTATGGGTTGAGCCTGTGTAAATATTTATCTTCTGAAACACACTGAAAACACAGGAATGAAAACAGCAAGAAACATCAGGTTGGCCCTGCAGGACACATTTCCAAAAGTACAAATGGCATGTTTACCCTGTAGTGGCTGTAAAACCTGCTCAAACATCGGTCACTGACCCTCTTTTGCCACACTCTAAGACAAGGCTGAACAGGCTCCACTTCAAATGAGGCAAAAAAAGTAGGGTTGTGCCATTTGTACAGGGAACGCCTGTGGTGCAAACTGTGCTGGGTGATTGGTGATTCTCCTCCGAGCACCACCTCTGCCACCAAGGCCTGGTTCTGCACCAGCTCCAGGCACTACTCAGACAAAACTCAGTAAAATTCCCTGTTTCTCAGATTCCTTTGCAGCCTGCCTCTGAGTGCCACCCAGAAGTGGTCACACATTTCATCTCCAGCCACCCTTCTTCTCTCCTCTGCAGTTGGGAGCATTTTCTGGTCGAGTGCTGGACCTGCAGGAACTGAGAGCACCAACCAGTCCTTGTGGAGTAATTCCTCTCTCCACAGCAACTGCAACATTGCTTTTGCCTCCTTAGCCACTCCCTCAGTCCTTTTCCAGGCTGGGACAAAATCACAGCTGGACCTGGTAATACCCAAGGTAATACCCAACTCCCACTGTCAAAATACTGTTCTAATTCCAGAGTGGTTATACCTGGGGTAAATCAGATACAGGTCTTGGTGGTTTGAGGTGATGGGAACTTGTGAAGGGCCAGGTTAACAATTACCAGCTTGAATTATGCTATCAGATACGATAGCAGGCTTTGAAAAAAAAAAAAAAAGAAAGAAAAGAGTAATTCAGACGAGGAAAACAAACAGACAGTGATGTCCTTGACCACAAGAGTTCCCATCAGGATGCTTTGCCTTGCAGACCATTATGCTGCCTTCATTTCCTTCTGTCTTCTCCAGAGGTTACTGGTGCCCAGGGCTTTGCACAATACAATTTCTGCAGTGGCTCACCTGAATGTAAAAAACATTCCAAGGAATGTTTAAAATGACTGAGACACCCCAGCCACGTCTGTACACTTCAGGCTCTCCTTGCACAGCACACCTCCTCAAATAATGCCTTCACTGAAGTGTGAAGGGCCTGGAGGATGAAATGCTTGTCACATTCACCTATTTTTCCTGTAGCTGACACTGAACTAACAAGCACACTCCTTCAGTGAAGCCATCAGAGTGTTCCACTCGGAGTCCTGGATCCCTTAAGGGAATGAAATGGCACTGAACTTCACTCTGGACATGTGGGAGATGGAATTAACAGAGCTGCAAGGCTGTAGTAGGAACTGAAATGGCAGCACTCACTGCAGGGAGGGAACTCAAAATAATCCATGAAACCCATTTGCTCCACGCTCTTGAATATGTATCTGCTTTGCTGGGGCCTCTCTTCACTCCATGTTCACCATCTATGCTTTGGAATCAGGTTCCCAAAGTTAGATTTTGATTCTTTACTGGAAACAGACCACGTCTCTCAGGTTCATTGCCATCTCCTCAAAGTCCTACATGTCCACAGGGATCACTCAGTGCTTCAGGTCCTCTCCAGAGTGCTCTGCACAACCCAGGCTTTTAGCTTTTACCAGGGGAAGCAAAGCCATCACATCAGAAGTGTGTGCTTAGAGCTTTCCCCCCTCATTTACCCTTTTTAGGGAGTCTGCTGGAGCTTTTCTCCCCTCCTGCAGCTTCCTTCCAACATCTGACTCACTAAACACATCTTCATGCTGCAGTGGCTGCTGTTCAGACACTCTGCATTGTCACCTCATCTCAAAAACCACACGAAAATCCAGGTCTCTGCATGGCTCCACCTAAAAGTGAGCCTACAGCTGGGAAAGGCAAGCAGCTCTACAGCAGGGAGGGACATCTGAAGAAATAAGTACACACAGAAAATAAAGCAAAGCCAAACAAACCAAGGAAAAACCCCACAGGGCAGCAGCAGAGCAGTTCCAGAATATTGTGAAAAGCAGATACATTCCTAGAAACCTGTGTATGAAACTGAAATTAGTTAAACTTAAATAAGAAGTGAAATTATCTAATTCCTGGGCAGTTGTTTGGACAAAGAAACCAAACAATTTTATCATGTGAATATGGTACACTTTAGAGGATGGGCAAAGTGGTGCACACTCCCTCTTTTCACAGCCTTCCTTAAGGCTGGACTTATCCATTCCCTGAAACACACAAGCCTTTCCAAGAGCCAAACACTGCAGGGCTTTAAAAATTGTACAATAACTGGGTTTCAGATTTTCAGAGACAGGAAATGGTTATGCTGTACCATCCAAAAAATTTCAACTTTGCTCTCAATTCTACCCATATATTCCTTTATCTAAAAAAAAAACCTGTCAAAACAGGTAGAGCAGTAGAGCAGTGAAATAAAAGAACACGAAGTACTCCACAGGTGCCATTGGCACATTAGTCTGCTTCAGCTAAGAATTGTCAGTGCCTCATCTCTCATAAGCAGTTCCTATTAGAATGTGGACCTGAGGTCCAAACTGGAGAATTTACAAGCAAACCAACATTCATTTGCAAACAGCTAGCAGCAGCCAAGTGGTTCCCCTTGCACGTGTGATTTTAGATAAGCATATGGAATGCAAAGCTTTGGTTCAAAGGCAAATAACAATTGATGGCAAAAGGGCCTATTGCACCATCCCACCCCCCTGAATCCAGACACAAAATCATGAGTGCTGCACACGTTTGCCTCTCAGCACTAGCAGTCCAAAGCATGTGCTTTAGAACCCTACCAGACATTTCTGTCAGCTCATCACTGACACAGAGCAAGGTTTCACCACATCTGGTTCCTATAAACCCACAGCCCTTTAGGATGCCAGCCTCAGTTCTGCTAAGCAGAAAACATTGTAAAAAAAACCATGCAAAACCAAAGGAGTACACTAAGACAGAATGATGCTGTTTAGAAAACAATAAATTAGTGAAATGATGGGTGTACCTTCTTGTGGAAAACACTGCAGAGGCCTCTCTCCAAATCTGGCAGCTTACAAAGAAGATTTTGAATCTGACCAAACACACTGGATTCTGACAGCAGAATTTCAGACACAGCATCAAGACGGGCATTTATTTCACTGCAAAAGAAGAACAATATTTAAAACTTGTGTTTCTCTGAGGGGTAGGGGGAGGCAGTGAACCTCTTCCTCTGGTTTGTTTTGGGTTGATTTGCTTTATTCTTTGACTAATGCCACATCCTCATGAGCAGGCTAGGAGAAGAACTGAGGAATGCAGAGAATCTTGGGATTTCATTCCAACTGCAAGCCAGATCCTGGACATGAGCTCATTCTCCCCTGTCTGTACTCACATAGTGCCCAATTGCACGTGCTCCTGATGTTGGGAACAACGAACCCTGACGATTACACCCCAAATGTGTGCCTGGAGGAGGACAGAGGGCTTGGAGCTCACACCTGCACCCCATGTACCACACTCTACCCCAGCAGGTTGCAGACACCCCTTACCATTTTGTCCCCCTGTCTTATCCTCACCAGTGATTCGTAATTACTTGGATCAGCACTGTGTTGGTTTTTCTACCTTTTTTTTTTTTGCTAAAACCTGTAACATTTATCTCCCTGTTTCTGTGACTGAAGTCACAGAAACATCCTCCTGAAGTGAGGAAACACTTTTTTTAATGAAAAGAGGTGATTCCCTAGCACTCAGCAGGTTCCTTACAATTATTTTCTTAAAAGCAAAGGGCTGCAGAAATGGGCAACAACCACCAAGTTTCACTCAAGTTTTTACAGAGTTTCCTCTGTGTCCTTCCAGCATATCCATGGACTGGCTGCAGATTGCAAAGATGACTCCACTTCTGCTTCCCATGCAACCAAATTGCCTTCCTGCACTGGGAGTGGGGGTCACTGGGTGCATCCAAAGCCCATCCACCCAGCAGCTCAAGGAGGAATCAGTCCTTTGATGCAGACACTCCACATCCCAGACAACTGTGTGCAAAAGCAGCCCAGCCCACGTTCTCAAGGACCAGCGAGGTGCTCAGAGCTCAGCCAGCACAGAGGGATGGGAACTAAGGATGCAAAACAAACTTAAGATTTTTGTAAGATTGCCTGCCTTGCCCGTGGCTTCTACTGCAGAGGTTTCAGGCCAGTTGCCAGTGTGGCTGCTCATAAATAATGTCCATGAGGAAATCAAAGAAATCAGGCACCTCCACAGGCTGCAGACATTACAACAGTGCAGCAGTCAGAGGCCTCTGGCCCTGAAGACAGCTGAATCTAAGAGTCCTTGAAATTTTATTGCACCTCATGTGAAAGGGGAAATCATGCCTGGCTGTGCTCTCAGCTAAACACAAATCTAACAGCCCTCATGTGCCAGGATTGCTTCAGTGCCACACTTCTTTATGCCAGACAGTAACAGCAGCTCCTGGTGTTACCTCCAGACAAGACCCTGATGCCCAGAGCAGGGATCTGGGGGCTCAGGATGGCCACAGCAGCAGGGACAGCCTCTGCTGCTGGTGCCACTGCCATCCCTGGATGGGACAGGCTCTCTGACAGCACCAGAGCACTCCCCAGGGCTGGGGCTGTCCCAGCCCTGAGGAGGACGGGAAGGTCACACCTGGCAGGCACAGCTTGAGCATCCTGCTTCAGGTCACAAGAACACCTGAGCCACTGCCCCAGCAACGCCAACACACTCATTTTCAAATCTCCCCCACTCCTGTGGGCAGCCAGGCACCTTGGAAGCAGGTCCCACTGACAGCAGCTCACAGGGAGGAACCTGAGCAGGACTGGCAGAGCCACAGAACACCCTGAGCACACAGCTCCAGCACCAGCCAACATCTGCAGTGACGTCCTGAAGGGTCAGTGTCACCACCCACAACCCCATTTTCGTGGATAATTACTGACACTTGCTGTACTTGAAACCCTGGAACACTTCTCCTCCACATGAGAGAGTACTGAGCTATTAAATTAGACACATATGTACCTTAAAGAAGATAAAAACCTTCATTTTTCATTATTTAAAAGCACTGTAAGCAGCAGAACTCTGTTACTTAATTTAAACAGCACTATTTCTATGTGGCTAGCTGGAAACTGGCAGTAATATGTAAAATAGGTGCAGATATTTGAAAAACTCCTCCCTGCAAAGCTTAATCTGCACTTTAATCATCCTCACATATGGCTGTGTTACTGGAGCTCCAGTAATCTAGAACTAAGCATCCATACAGTTTTTCTGCTTTAATCCCACAAATAAGAAAGGGCCAGGAAAATGGCATTCAGTACCAAATGACCCGGTTTTTTCCACCTGTAAAGAAAACTGAGTGGGATTCCTATTTCAAAATTCAGAAAGTACAGCAAAGAATTGTCTAAAACACCATATACCCATCAGGAAGGAAAGAATGGGGTGAGATACCATAAAAAGACATGATGAGTTACGAAGTATGTTTTTAAACATCAAATATTTAGATATTTAATATATAAATATTTAAAGTAACAAACATTTTATTGAGTGCCAATGTATAAATATATGTATTACACTGATCAGTTGCTAAGCCATCTCTGAAGGAATCTGTTCTGCTCTGTGCAGTTTGGGGCAGCCAATCTCTGCACGGTCTGGAAAAGAATTCCACCACCAGAAAACCTGGGTCTAACTTTATGCAAAGAAACTCAACAGCCAGCTAAACTGGCTACCACTTCATGCTGCATTTAGGTGCAGTATTAGCCTGTCCTTTCTCATCTGTATAAACCATGACAGCAATCTGAGCTTTATCCAATTTTCCAAGCAATCTTCTGTGGAATAATGTAACATAATTCAGTTGACTAAAAGCAATACTCTTACTTCTGCCATACCCTCCCATCTAAGAATAGCATCATTAATACAATACTAAAATCACTTTTCAGTGTATTTAAACATAACAAAATCTAACTGCAGAATTGTTATTGTAGTCATTTAAAAGAACTACTTGAAGTGAAATAATGAGATACTCCCCTGCATTATTCTGCTGCCAAAGAGTGAACAATACAGAAAATTAGAAACGTGAAGAAGATGTTTGAATCCTGAACTAAAAATTATTTTGACAAAGCAGAATGCTGCAGACACGAAAGCAGTGCACTGAATTAACATCTGAGCAGCCTAAACAGGATTGCTGGTTGCTCGTGTGGCAACAGAGATCTGCTGGTCTCTCCTGCAGCAAAAAACCCCAACATTTTTAGATGTGATAATATATCTTTACATTCAAAGCAGAGTGAAATTGATAACGTGCTATACAAGAACTAAGGATATTTTCATTAATGTAAGGTATTATTATTTAAATACAAGGTAAATAAATACAAGTTTATCAGAAATCTCTTAACTTATGCTAAATGCACACAGTATGGATTTATTCATCATGCTAAGGACACAACTCAAGAATGATGTATACAGTTAAGATTATTTTATTAAATCTACTCTAGGACAACAGTGATGTGCAGACCTGTCACTCACAGGAATTCAACCCCTTAAAGAAACATAATTAAGGGTATGAGACAACAAACATTGCTTCCCACGGACTACGGTATCTAAGTCAAAGCCTAGCAGCCTGCTAAACTGCAGCATTGTAAAGAATGAAAATGTATCATCTAAATTACTAATTTATGTATTATTATTATTTTCTGACCTCCCCTCAGACCACAGCTGACTAGAAGACTTTGGATGAGCTGATTAAGTTAAAGACTGTGTTAAATGGTACAGAGTGTCCCCTGCTTTAGACCACTCCTTTCCACAACAGGCAATTAAAGCCACCAAAGCCCACAGCCCTGGTAGCATTACCATTTTGCAGTCCATAAACTCAGGATGTCCTTCCACAGGACAAGCAGACTAAGACTTATATTATAAACAGTGCAGTGAAATTTAAGTGAAACCTAAAAATATTAAGCATCCTTCTGGAGCCGTTCACTTGTTTTTTACGTATTTTACTCCCAAAACTCCTGATGCCTCATGCCTCTCCAGAGAGGTCCAACAGGAGAGGACAATCTCCCTGAATGGATCTCAAATACTGAGCAGCAGTGCACAAGCACCCTAAACTTTAGCTTCACATCTGTTAAAAGAACGTCCAAAAAATGCAAATGGCAATCAAACACTTTTGTTTATGCTCATATACAACGTATTCCAGCTATTTGTGCCTAAAAAGGGAACAATTAGCTACTTTAGCCAACATGAATGAATGCCTGATTGCTCCATTTATAAGGAATTAGACACAGCAAAGGGACCAAAACATAGCTAAGCAAAAATGAATCAATACATGTGATGATGCTGCAATCTTTTTCTTTCCCAAACAATTTTGAGATCTCAGGCATATGCTGTAACCTGCATTTGTGCATTTTATACTGGCACTGATTCTATAAAATTGTTATTCTTAGGAGGAAAATTTAGCTCTGCTGCAGGATCAGTGGATTATATTCAGAAATTTCTGCTGGGGAAAAAAGTCCTGCTCTGGATGAAGATGGCATCAAATAGTAACCAGTTTAAGTCCAAAATAAGATGGGACAAGGACATTTAGACAGTTTGTTTTACCACCCTGATATTTTAATTTTGAGAACAAGGACAAAGTCAAACTTGAAAGACTTTCCTTTAGAATTATACTTTGTGTATAGAAGTATAAATAAAGCAGCACTCAATACATTCAAAGTGAGAAAATGTAGAACAAGACATTATTTTATATTAGAAAAGCCATGTCATTGCCAATCTCACTGTAAAGGGACCCTCTTCTTCCCATTTCTACAGTAGATATCCTCCAAGCAAGTCATGTTGCATTAGTAATGCTAATTTACACTTCCTCTTCTTCAGGAGAACATAAGGAACTGTCTGTAGTCCTGAACTGTGCAGCTCTGAATTTTCCACATTGCCAGTCCTTCTAAGCTCCTGTGGACAAAGCATATTCAGACTAACAGCAATTATCAATACCATCCCACAAGGCTTTAATATTATAAAAGAATCATCTCGTCCAGAACTGGAAGAAACAGGAGACAAAGTATACTGGAATCCCAGGGAAAAAGTGGAAATCCAGTTTTTGAGAGGTGATTAAAAATTTGGTTTCTCTGAAGCACAAAGCTAAGTTTGACATGTTTTTGGAAACTGCCTAAACAGATACAATTTT